GGATTACAGGCTTGAGCCACCGCGCCCGGCCAACTTTTGCTTTAAAAAAAAAAAAAATATATATATATATATATATATATGCACACACACACACGTTTACTTTTGAAAAGATATATGTGTTTACTTTTGAAAAGATATATATATGTTTACTTTTGAAAATATATATATTCACTGTTGAAAAGTAAATATATATAAAGATATATATATAAAGACATATACATATAGATATATAGATATATAGATATATATAGGTATATATAAAGATACATAGAAAGATATATATATACACAAAGACATATATATATATAGCGAGATGGAGTCTCGCTCTGTCACCCAGGCTGGAGTGCAGTGGCGCAATCTCCGCTCATTGCAACCTCCAACTCCTGGGTTCCAGCGATTCTCCTGCCTCAGGCTCAGGAGTTGCTGGGACTACAAGTGCGTGCCACCACACCCAGCTAATTTTTTGTATTTTTAGTAGAGATGGGGTTTAACCTTCTTAGCCAGGATGGTCTCGATCACCTGACCTTGTGATCCGCCTGCCTCGGCCTCCTAAAGTGCTGGGATTACAGGCGTGAGCCATTGCGCCTGGCTCATTTGTGTATATTTCTTAAATGTGTTCTTCTAACTAGTTAAAAACTTCTGGACTGACAATTATCTTTTACCTGGAATAGTTAACCCATTAATCTTTAATGTAATTGCTTTTATGTTTGTTTTTAAATGTTTATCTTATAGCATAAGATAATTATCCTACTGGTTCTATGTCCCCTCTTCTATCTTGTTCTCTGGAGGATTTTCTTTACCTTAGTTAGTTTGAAAGTTACAGTCTTTTAATATTTGACTAGTGACTACCCTAGAAATTAGAACATGCATGTCTGACCTTTCTGTGATCATTTTCTTCTTTCTCAAGATACCATTTAGTACTTCCTTTAATGCAGATCTACCCGTTGTTAATTCCCTCAGTTATTATTTGCTATTAGGTATTATTTTATTTAAGTACAGATAAGATATCAACCTGCTATTTTCTGATTTCCTTTTTTGCTGTTGAAAAGTAAATATTCGCCGGGCGCAGTGTTTCACGCCGGTAACCCCAGAACTTTGGGAGGCCCAGGTGGGCGGATCACAAGGTCAGGAGTTTGGGACCAGTCTGGCCAACATGGCGAAACCCCGTCTCTACTAAAAATAAAAAATTAGCTGGGCATGGTGGCAGGCGCCTGTAATCCCAGCTACTCAGGAGGCTGAGGCAGGAAAATCGCCTGAACCTGGAAGGTGGAGGTTGCAGTGAGCTGAGATCGCACCACTGCACTCCAGTCTGGGTGACACAGTGAGACTCCATCTTAAAAAAAAAAAAAAAAAAAAAAGAAAGAAAGAAAGAAAAGAAAAGAAAAGTAAACATTCGACCAGGCACGGTGGTTCATGCCTGTAATCCCAGTACTTTGAAAGGCTGAGGCGAGGCCGGGCGCGGTGGCTCAAGCCTGTAATCCCAGCACTTTGGGAGGCGGAGACGGGCGGATCATGAGGTCAGGAGATCGAGACCATCCTGGCTAACACGGTGAAACCCCGTCTCTACTAAAAATACAAAAAACTAGCCGGGCGAGGTGGCGGGCGCCTGTAGTCCCAGCTACTCAGGAGGCTGAGGCAGGAGAATGGCGTAAACCTGGGAGGTGGAGCTTGCAGTGAGCTGAGATCCGGCCACTGCACTCCAACCTGGGCGACAGAGCGAGACTCCGTCTCAAAAAAAAAAAAAAAAAAAAAAAAAAAGAAAGGCTGAGGCGAGGAGATCACGAGATCACGAGATCAAGAGATAGAGACCATCCTGGCCAATATGGTGAAACCCTGTCTCTACTAAAAATACAAAAATATAGCTAGGTGTGGTGGCATACACCTGTAGTCCTCGCTACTCCGGAGGCTGAGGCAGGAGAATCGCTTGAACCCGGGAGGAGGAGGTTGCAGTGAGCCGAGATCGCGCCACTGCACTCCAGCCTGGGTGACAGAGCAAGACTCCATCTCAAAAAAAAAAAAAAAGAAAAAAAGAAAAGTAAACATTTATCTTATATTTGCTCCTATGAAGGCAATGCCTCCTTTAAGATTTTATCTTTGATCTTCTGTAGTTTCACTATGATGTGTCATATATGATTTTAAAATGTATCCTACTTGGGCTTCGTGGAACTTCTTGAATCTATGGATCAATAGGTTTCTTAAATTTTAGAAAATTATCATCTATGATCTCTTCAGAGATTGGTTTGACCCCATTCTCTTTTCTTTCTGAAATTTCAACTACAATTATTTTGGATTTCTCTCTGAATTCTGTCTGTCCCTCACTCTCTGTGCTGGATATTTCCAATTTCTCCCTTCTCCAATCCTCTACTCTGCGTCTTAAGGGCAGATATTTACTTATTTATTTATTTATTTATTTATTTATTTATTTATTTAGATGCAGTCTCACTCTGTTGCCCAGGCTGGAGTGCAGTGGTGCAATCTCAACTCACTGCAACCTCTGCCACCTGGTTCAAGCGATTCTCCTGTCTCAGCCTCCCCAGTAGCTGGAATTACAGGCACGTGCCACCACACTTGGCTACTTTTTGTATTTTTAGTAGAGACAGGGTTTCACCATGTTGGCCAGGCTGGTCTCGAACTTCTGACATCAGGTGATCCTCCTGCCTCGGCCACCCAAAGTGCTGGGATTACAGGCGTGAGCCACCGTGCCTGGCCTAGACATGGTAACTTTAAAAATATTTGTAAAAGCAATTTGTGAACATAGGTAATGTGTTGTATCTCCCTTCAAGGATAATTTACATTTGCTTCTGCTAGGTAGCAGTGGCATTAACATGACACTGTTACGTCTTAGAACATGACTTCATGACATTAGCATGACATCAAGATGGCTGCAGTCTATGCAAGGCTTTCCTTACTCTAAGTTCATGTTTTCTTCTAGAGAGCAGTCCTTTGGTGTTTCAAAAGTAACTTTGGGGCCAGGCGCGGTGGCTTACGCCTGTAATCCCAGCACTTTGGGGGGCTGAGGCAGGCAGAGTACTCGAGGTCAGGAGTTCGAGACCAGCGAGGTCAGGAGTATGAGACCAGCCTGGCCAACATGGTGAAACCTCATCTCTACAAAAATACAAAAATTTAGCTGGGTGTGGTGGCTCATGCCTGTAATCCCAGCTGCTCAGGAGGCTGAGGCAGGAGACTCACTTGAAGCTGGGAGGTGGAGGTTGCAGTGAGCTGAGATTAGGCCACGACACTCCAGCCTGAGTGAGAGCAAGGCTCCATCTCAAAAAACAAACAAACAAAAATACCCCAAAAAACAACAACAAACAAAGTTTGGGATGGCAAATCAGGCCCCCTTCCTTTGGCAGACTCTGGGCTCCACCTTTTGTCCCTTAAATCACCCAAAAGTGGTGCTCAAATCTCACCTGCCTTTACAGCATTAGCAAGTCACTTCTTTCACTCCAAATGGTGGTCTCCTCTCTCTAGATTTCAGCCTTCTCTCAAATTTTGGCCCAGCAATTTCTCATTATCTTGTTATTTCTTTTATGGTTTTGATGTTTTAAAAAGTTTCAAAATGTTTTGTCAAACATCTTCCTTATCTTCAGAGAGACATCTATATGATTTAGCTCCCCATCACTATTTAATATAAGCTATGCACTTTTCATTAAGACAAGTACACAGTAATAGAACTATTGCCAATAGGAAATAGCTGAGTCCAATGAAGATGTTTCAAGGTAGGAAAAGTTTAAAAGCCTATTTGGGCTAGGTGTGATGGCTCACGCCTGTAATCCCAGTACTTCGGGAGGCTGAGGCAGGAGGAGAGCTTAAGCCCAGGAATTTGAGGCCAGCCTGGGCAACATAGTGAGACCCTGTCTCTACAAAAAAAAAAAAAAAAAAAAAGAAGAGAAAAGAAAAAAGAAAAATTAGCTGAGTGTGCTGGCATGCTACTTGAGAGGCTGAGGGGAAAGGATTGCTTAAGCCCAGGAGTTCGAGACCAGACTGGGCAACAATGTGGTGAAACCCTATCTCTACAAAAAATACAAAAATTAGCCAGGTGGGGTGGCAGGGGCCTGTAGTCTAGCTATTCAGGAGGCTGAGGTGGGAGGATCACTTGAGCCTGGGAGGTTGAGGCTGTGGTGAGCCATGATTACACCACTGCCCTCCAATCTGGGTGACACAGTGAGACCCTGTCTCAAAAAAATAAAAACAAAAACAAAAACAAGAGACAGTGTAGCTGTAAGTCCCTAGGTAAATCTCTTACAATCTTGAGGACTGGGTCAGAACATTTTTTTTTCTTTTTTCTTTCTTTTTTTTTTTTTTGAGATGGAGTCTAGCTCTGTTGCCCAGGCTGGAGTGCAATGGCATGATCTCAGCTCACTGCAACCTCCACTTCCTGGGTTCAAGCGATTCTTCTGCTTCAGCCTCCCAAGTAGCTGGGATTACAGGTGCGTGCCACCACGCCCGGCTAATTTTTTGTATTTTTAGTAGAGATGGGGTTTCACCATGTTGGCCAGGCTGGTCTTAAACTCCTGACCTCTAGTAATCCACCCACCTCAGCCTCCCAAAGTGCGATTACAGGCTTGAGCCACAGCACCCAGCTTTTTTTTTTTTTTTTTTTTTTTTGCTTTTTTTTTGAGACAGGGTTGCCAGCCTCTGTTGCCCAGGCTGGAGTGCAGTGATTGGATCTCACTGCAACACCTGCCTCCCGGGTTCAAGTGATTCTCCTGCCTCAGTCTCCCGAGTAGCTGGGATTACAGGTGCCCACCACCACACCCGACTAATTTTTGTATTTTTTGTAGAGAATGGGTTTTTTCTCTTGACCAGTTTGGTTTTGAACTCCTGACCTCAAGTGATGGGCCAGGAGATTTCTAAGGAACCTTTGCATTCTAAACTTCTATTACTGTGAAACCAATATTGTAGCAGAGACAGAGCTGGATTTGGAATCAGGAGGCTGGGATTTGAGCGCAGCTCTGCCACATACCAGCTGTGTGAACATGGGCAAGTCATTTAATCTCTCTAAGCCTCACGGAGATTTACCTCACAGAGTTGGGAAGGATTAAGGGGGTTACTGTATGTCAAAGTGCCTTATAAACTGTAAAGAACTACCCTAATGTCAGGTATTCTTTTATAACGTCCAGTCTTCTTCTTTTTGAGCCAATCAGAAAAAGTAACCTAAAGTGAGTCAGATCTCAGGAATTTAAGTTGTAAAACCAGGAAACACATTATAGTTAATTGTGCATCATACTCACCTTATGGAATTTATAGAATCGTTTTATTCTATCAGTGCTTACACTTTGATAATGAATAATACAAAGTAAAATTACAAATAGGTACTCACTTCTACAGGCCGATCCTCCATAAGAAGATGGTCACTGTTCTCGGAATCCCAAATTTTGAGGGGCAAAATAGTGAACACAGTATATGATAACGGCAACAGGTACTTATAAACTAGTTTTCTCATTCATTGAACAATTTCGTGTGGAGCCATCACGTCTATCGGGGAGGATAGCAAACCTGAGGTCAACACGAAAGAAGTTTTCCTGTTTTCAAGCGAGCAGGGGCAGCCCTAGAATGAACTAAGCTGCCATCAGCAGGGCGATGATGTTTTCTCCTGAAACAGCCAATGAGGCATGTGTCAAAAGCCAGGCCTTCCTATTCTTTGCACTAACAGTCCCAGAATTGCTTTGAGGTCTTTTGAATGGAACTCGGGGAACCTAGATCGTCGGTGCACACCGGCGATAATTTTTCGATTATTCAGCAGAATTGACAAAGTATTTCCCTGAGAGGTTCAGCGCGCGCGCGCGCCTTCTCGGTTTGTGTTGAGTAACGCGCGCACTGTCATTCAGTGCCTACACATCGTTGTTGCTGAAGGCTCAGGAGTTGCAAGAAAATGGCTAACGAAGCGACGAGGGAACGGCGGCGCGGCAGACGTTGCTGCGATAGGACGTGCCTGACCTCCCAGTACACACAAGGGAACGCACCGCCCAAGTGTCCGCGGCCCGCCCGACCGTACGCGCCGCTGCCGGTCCCTGAGCCAATGCGCACGCGCGGCCGTCATCCGGGTGCTGGCTGCTGCTGCAGGTTGCGCTAGGGTGGCGGACCGGGGGAGGGGCCAGCGGCTCATTGTGCGCAGCGCTGTGCGGCGCCGGCGGCCGCCGAGGCCTGGGTGGAAGTTGGCGCTGCTGCCGCCGCCCTGCAGCCCACTCGCTGCCTCGGCAGCGCGCTGCTCTTCTAAGATGGCTGCCGCTACCGGTGCGGTGGCAGCCTCGGCCGCCTCGGGTCAGGCGGAAGGTAAAAAGATCACCGATCTGCGGGTCATCGATCTGAAGTCCGAGCTGAAGCGGCGGAACTTAGACATCACCGGAGTCAAGACCGTGCTCATCTCCCGACTCAAGCAGGTGAGGCCCGGCGAGGACTGGGAAGGACCGGGGAGGAGAGCTTAGGCCGCGCCTCGGCGCCCCGCTTCCGCCGCAGCCTCCGGCCGCCCGCAGCAGCTGGGACCTGCGGGGCAGCATGGTAGGGAGGCCCGGGGCGGCTCCCGCGAGCGTGGAGGACGGGGACCCTTACGCGGTGCCCCTGCCCCCGCGCCCCGGGCCGGGCTGGGCCTGCGAGGGACCGGCCACAGCAGCCCAGCGTGCCTCCGCCTCCCCGGGACGTCCCCGCCAGCCTGCGAGGGTTGCGGCCGGCCGGCGCGGCCTCCCAAGGGCGATCGTGGAGACCGGGGAGGCGCTCGGTCTCCAGCCTTTAGCCATGGTGAGCGTGTGCATTTCTTGGCCTCAGAGGGAATGGTTAGTTTGGTGACTTCTGCGAAGTTACCGTTTAATTGTGCCCAACCGTTTCTTCCCCATCTTGAGGGGGAATTGGTAGTGGGAGTTGATGGGTGGGTGACAGAGAGAGTTTTTGTTTTCCACTAGGCTTTTAGTTTTTGCATCAGCGCAATAATTACTTTTTCATTCCTGATTAGCTTTCTGGTTTGAGTGAGCGTTGGAATTGTAGTAGAGTAGCAGTAAGTTTGCATTACAGAAACTAGGAAAACTCTGTTTAGTTATTTACTTTAGTAGCTAGCAACTTTTCTGCAATATAACATATTTAGATTTTTGGCCAGTATGATGTGATATTTAATTATCTTGACATGGTAGAATTTAAAACTCCTTGCGATTTTGATACCTAATGATTTTTTTCCCCCTGAAAGTTTCTCTCACTCTTTCGTGTAGTTTAATTGCTCATTTTTGAAGTCGGTTTATGAAATAACTGGCAATTCTAATGGCTTGAGGTTTGCTAAATTTTTTTTTCATTTCGTTTTTATAAAATAAGTTTAGATAGATTGTGTAGCATATTAACTTCTCTTTCTAATGTAGGCTATTGAAGAGGAAGGAGGCGATCCAGATAATATTGAATTAACTGTTTCAACTGATACTCCAAACAAGAAACCAACTAAAGGCAAAGGTTGTTACGAGTTATGAACATATTTTAAAATATATTTTGGTTATATAACTTGCCTCTGCTCTTGTGCCACTTGCCCTGTTTATATAGTGCTACTCTTTGCTATTTCCCTCTGGCACTCTGCCTTCTTGGGTCAAGGAAGAAAAGTTACTGTTGCCAGACTTTGGGTGACTTGTAGCCCTTTAGATTCGGCTGAAGCTGATTAGAAAGTGAGAACAGTTCTTTATTGCTTCCGAAAAAAATTACAAAGTCCAGTTGTGTGATGATGCTTCATAGTGTGAAGACCTGAATAAAATACAGTTTAACACATGTCTACCTTGCCCCACAATTGGCAGAGTATTGATGGAATTCCTACCAAATCTTTCACCTTGCCTCCTTGCTGTTTTCTTTAGTATATTAAAATTCTGTAACCTTTATGTTTAGTACTTTGTTTGACTTGGTGAACTTAATTTGCATTTATGCCATTATACCTCCTAATTTTTAGTGAAATTCAAAAAGACCTCACCAATCATACTAACAAGGTAGAGGGAAAAATCCATGATTAATTAGCTTTAAAAAGGTTTAAATTATAGGGATGTTAAAGATTCTTCTTTTGTAACTTTTAAGCTAGAGCAGAATATATTTATTTCCAGGATATAATGATTTAGTGACTAGCTAAAAGTGGTTTTAAATGAACATTTTGCAGTATGAATGGAACTTAGGTATTTTTTAAGGCTTCTTGGTGAGTGAAACCTTTACTTGAATAACTGCAAATTTCTCCCTCCTATAAGGACAGTGGCAGAGGGTGGACATGATATATCTGTATTCTGGTCCTTACCTACAATTTTCATGCAGAGTTTGTCATGGACAGCTGCTGCATTTTTTGTAATCTAATTTTCTTTACTGCTTTAAGTGATCCAAATGTTACTCCCAACGACTGAATGATTGCAACTAAAATAAAATGGATTAATCTTGAAAAGAAGGGAATATTAAATTTTGATCTTAAGCACACCTGGGTATCAGAGATGAGGACGAGTCACTATTTTGAGTCTTCCTAGGTTAGGAAAGTCCCCTGTTTGTGCCAAAGGAAATTGAAAAGGGCTAAGAAGCATTCCCTGGGAGAGATGAAGATGTAGTTTAGGGAAGTAAAAAAGTTATCTTAAAGGTAGCTTTTCAGATAACTCTGACTCAGTGTATCACTTTGAGAGATACATTTTCCTGTGTTTACAGAAGCTTGTCCTGAGAAGACTGCTAACAAACCAGAGGCTATTTCAAAATGGAAAATGATAAAAGTTCAGAAATAAGTATATCAGGAATTAACCATGTGTCTTGTAGTGGTTTTGATTCATATCTTTTACCTAGCATGCTGTGCTTTGTCATAGTCCCAGGTTGTTTGAGTTGACTATTATTTTAGCATTGAAAATAAACATGATTTATTCTGTTCTCATCTACTTTTAATTTCTGTGTATATCCCTTTTTCAGTTTTTTTTTTTCCTCAGTTTTGTTTTTTTTGGGGGGGGATGGAGTTTCGCTCTTGTTGCCCAGGCTGGAGTGCAATGGCGTGATCTTGGCTCATCGCAACCTCCGCCTGCCAGGTTCAAGCGATTCTCCTGCCTCGGCCTCCATAGTAGCTGGGATTACAGGCAAGTGCCACCACACCCGGCTAATTTTGTATTTTTAGTAGAGACGGGGTTTCTCCATGTTGGTTAGGCTGGTCTCGAACTCCCGACCTCAGGTGATCTGCCTGCCTTGGCCTCCCAAAGTGCTGGGATTACAGGCATGAGCCACCGTGCCCGGCCCCTTTTTCAGTTTTGACTGGGAACATCATTTATCTCACCATTAGAAATAATTTCAGCAATATAAAATTTTAAGGATTTTTTCAATACATTTTATGACATATAGGTATATATCATATATATGATATATAGGTAAATATATAGGTATGTATATATAGGGGTGTATGTGTGTGTGTATATATATTTTTAATAGGGTATTGCTCTGTTGCCCAGGCTAGAGTGCAGTGGTGCCATCATAGCTCTTTGTAGCCTCAAACTCTTGGGCTTAAGTGATCCCTCCCACCTTAGCCTCCCTGGTAGCTGGGACTACAGGCACGTGCCACCACAACATTTTAAATAAGTAAACATTGTTTATTTTTATCAGTATGTTTGTTAATTTTTTTCTTTGTATGGGTTATATTTGAACTTTATTCCATAACTCTGATGTTAAGAGGTCCTAAGGTATTCAGTTAGAAGTTGTAACATTTGGGGGCTGGGCGCAGTGGCTCACACCTGTAATCCCAGCACTTTGAAGGCCAAGGCAGGTGGAGCACCTGTGGTCGGGAGTTCAAGAGCAGCCTGGCCAGCATGGTGAAACCTCGTCTCTACTAAAAATACAAAAAATATATATATGTGTATATATCTGGGCGTGGTGGCACGCGCCTGTAGTCCCAGCTGCTCGGGAGGCTGAGACAGGAGAATCGCTTGAACCCAAGAGGCGGAGATTACATTGATCCGAGGTCACAGCGCTGCACTCCAGCATGAGCGATAGAGCAGGAATGCATCTCAAAAAAAAAAAAAAAAAAAAAGTTGTAACGTTTAATCATTTGTCTGTCGCAGGCCTCCTTGTAAGAGATGCATGACAAAAAGCTCTTGTCTCCTTGAATTCCGGCCATCATTGTTATGAAAATCCTGTGAATTACAAAGAATATAATGTAAATCTCCACCTCCCAACGTAGTTTGAATTAATTTACAATAAAGATGCTTATTGATTCAATTATTTTATTTTTATTATTTTTAGTATGAGAGATTTTGAACCCAGTTTACTTGTTAAAGAATGCTCGTGTCAAATTCCAAGCGCTACTGATCATCTTTAGAGCCAGTTTTGCTTAAATGCGTCATACCAACTCAGTTCTAGCCTTTGAGATGTTTTCTCTGCCAGTTTACACAGTGATAAGATTATTTTAGGCCAGGCGCAGTGGCTCATGCCTATAATCCCAAAAGGCCAAGGCGGGAGGATCGTTTGAGGCCAGGAGTTCAAGACCAGCCTGAGCAACATAGTAAGCTCCTATCTCTATTTTAAAAAAGAATTAAGATGTTTAAGTAATAACTTTTAGAAACCAAATTTATATAGGGAAACTTATTAAAATATCAATAATGAACAGATTTTAAAACCAAGGATATATTAAATATTGTTTTAATGTGATGTCAGTTTTCCTTTTTTTTTTTTTGAAATGGAGTTTCGCTCTTGTCGCCCAGGCTGGAGTGCAATGACGCAATCTTGGCTCACTGCAACCTCTGCCTCCCGGGTTCAAGCGATTCTCCTGCCTCAGCCTCCCGAGTAGCTGGGATTACAGGCATGCGCCATCACGCCCAGCTAATTTTGTATTTTTAGTAGAGAGGGGTTTCTCCATGTTGGTCAGGCTGGTCTCGAACTCCCGACCTCAAGTAATCCTCCCACCTCGGCCTCCCAAAGTAAGCCACCGTGCTTGGCTGATGTCAGTTTTTCAGTCAAGTTGCTGAATTACTACATCCAATTCCTTTTGCCAGATCTTGCTTTACTTACTGGTATCTACCTTGAAATAATTGCATCTTGGTTATGCCACTTTTCCTTCAATGAGCCTGTTTTATCTTTTGTAAAACTGGAAATTTTACTGGTTCACCTATAAGGCTCTTTTAGTTCTGAAATTTAATAATTATATAACCAAAAATGAGAAGAAAATTCTTTGTTTAACCAAAATGATGTTTAAGGAAGCAACAAGTAAGCTCATAGGAAATCAGTATAGTTTTTCTTCAGCACAAATTATTAGAAAACGAAAAGTGCCAAGAAGGGGATTACTTAGAGGTAATTATGTAGACATCAGCAAGACATAATGTATAATAGCTTGTCAGGAAAAGAAATCATTCTTATGACAATATTAAGGTAGTGATTAAAAGTTAAATGACAAGAGAGAAGCTTCCTGGGTATGGAAAAAATACTTTGGTGAAACATTAAGCTTATCTCCTATAAAATAACTATAGGGTAACTTTTAAAAAGGTATGTTAAAAGGATTGTATTTAGAGAGGTTAGAGGGAAAGGAACCTACATTTTTAAGTTTCTCCTAGAATACTTTTTAAATGCAGCTATTACAAGCACAAACAATGTTGATAATGTTATAGTGGGCTCTGACATTTATAACAACATATTTATAAAATTCCTTTACATGTAGTTAATAGAGTGGACGTTTGTATCTTAGAATGGCTTTATTGAGTCTTTTCACACTCTGTTATGAACTTTTAAATAGGTAACTTAGAAGAAAGCTTCACCCATTGAAGTTTATGGTTACATTAATTGGGTGTGTGTTTAAAAAGTAGCTGAACAGGTAGAGCTAACTTCTCATTAGGTTGTTTTAGAGATTATAGATTTAAAGACTTTTGGTTTACCTGACACTGGCATATACTTTTCTTTTAGATTTTCAACCTTTAAAGTCACCAATTAACTTCAGGAAAAGTGATGTGGTTAATCAGTACAGGATTTAGAACGTGTGTACTGCAGTACTTACCGACGTGAAAACTTAATTGCAATACCTGGCGACTTCAAAAAGACTAAAAATGCTGTGTAAAAGCTGATTTTTCTCCTATAGAAACAAGTATATTTTGAGGTTATAGGTTTGGCCAAACATCTAATGTCTGATTTTTTGGGGAAAATACCACAGACTACGTATTTATAATTACATGTTTACTCTGTAAAGCTTTCTAAAACTTATGTCAATTAAATGTAGTAATCAGCCATATAAAGCACATTTCATATAACATAGTAACATAGTGTACTGTAATTCGCTTTTTTTTTCCCTCCAGCTGTAGTATGTTCAGATGTTAAGGGACACTTTAATCAGAACTGTGGCATTGAGGAGGACTTTGGGCATATAATTGTTATAGATATTTCTTAGGCGCCCGAAGGCTGAAGGCTCTGTGAAAGCTGGGACGCAGTTTTTCATTCACCTCTCTGTCTGTAACGCCTAGTGTAGAGCAGGGCACATAATAACTGCT